CTGTATATACTGACAACCAAGTTGCAGCTCTACAAATGTCTCCATGGATACTTGAGCCAAAAAGGCTGTGGAAGCTCCCTTACATCATGTAGCGTGCACTACCACTACCCCTCTCGCTAGAGGAAGTACACTGGCAATGTCATAGAACAAGTGTATGCAGTATGAAAGGCTCCGCATCACTACTGAAAGGCCTTTAATTCTGTCTGCAACTGAGACAAACAGCTGTGCTGACCTAGTGCTATTCAAGTAAAAAGCCAACACCCTTTTAACATCCCAGGTCTGAAGCCTCTCCCCATCCTCATATGGCTTCATTTAGATGGAATTCTGATATCGCTTTAGTCAGGAATCTCAGATGAAACAGTAAAAAAAACAGTGTAAGGAGGGTCCATCTACCAATGCTTGTAACTTCGCCACCCTTCTCATGGAAGTAATAACTACCGAAAATGCACCTTTCATAGGCAGATAGAGCAAAAAAGCTGGTGACCATCAGTTCAAAAGGTGGTCCCAGCAATCTTGCTTTCACCAGATTTAAGTCTCAGAAAGGAATGGGATACATGACATGGGGATATAATCTGTCCAGTCCCTTTAAGAATCTGACTCATATTGATTAGAAAATACTCAGCAACCCACAACTGGTGGGCAGAAAGCAGAGATAGCTGCTAGATGAACTCTGATAGAGCTAATCAATAGACCCTTGCTGTTTCAGGTGAAACAAGTAGTCCAAAACATGCTGGATAGAGGCCCGGACTGGCAAAACATCCCTCTGTTTTGACTATAGGGAGAACTGTTTCTACTTCAACAGATAAGTGCATCTAATATATGGCTTTCTGCTAGTCAGGAGACTGTTTTGTACATTCCCAAAACACTCTGTCTCCTGAAGAGTTAAGTATGGAGCATCCAGGACGTAAGATGGAGAGTTGCTAAGTTGGGATATATCAGGCAACCGCTGTCCTTGGAGATCAGGTCAGGTTTTGAAGGCAGTGTCAAAGAAGCCCTGGCTAAGAGGCTCAGCAGACTAGAGACCCAGTGTAGGGGAAGGGTCAAGCTCCAGCCCAAGAAGGAACATTACACTGCTATTTTCAGCCCCGTAGTGAAAGCCTGAGTCACTGACCCAAGCTCTGAGATTCACTGCCATGGGGTACTTTTAACAATGCAGCTGTACCCTTTGATGTTAACTTGAAAATCAGCAACAGAATAAAGTGATAAAAGAGCTGCTGAAACAATGCATTTTGTTTCCATATTCAACTGCTACATAAAATTCTATCCAGACAACAAAAAGGGATAAAAATTAAATAATCAATTTTATTAGTTATAGAAATCTAAACACAACACTGACTTTTATTATGTGTATTAGGATTGTGCTTAGGGGCCTCAGTCTTGGCCCCGGACCCCATTATGTTAGGCGCAGTAAAAAAAAATTAAGAAAAAGATAGGAAAAAAGTCCCCATTCCGAAGATTTTACAATCTAAATATAAGGCAACAGATAGATACAGACAGACAGATGGGAAAGCACAAGAAACAAGGAGACAATATTGGTCAACAGGATAGTTTGTGGTCTCATCACACCAGCAATCTAACCACTGTCAAGTTTTTTTTTTCTTGACAAACAAGAGTTTTAAGGAGGAATCAGGAGGAGGAGGAGGAGTTAGTTTTATGGAGGTTTACAGAGAGCTCCTCCAAAGCATGAGGGGCAATATGGGAGAAAGCCTGAAGGTGCTTGTTCGAAAATTTAGCAAGTGGTCAGCTGGCATCAAGGGCTGACTGGAGATAGGAGTTGACTTTTTGATACTGAATGGGAGATAAGAAGTGGGGTGTGGATAGATCATGAAGGGCCTTGAAAGTGAAGACAAGTAGCTTAAGTTTGATATACTAGAGAACAAGGACCGAGTGGAGGGATGCAAAAGGAGGGGTGACATGGTCAAAATGGACTCTTCATGTAGTTAAGCACGCACTTCAGTGCATTGCAGAATTGGAGCCTTATTTTTAAAGACTGCTTTCTCCTATGCCCTCTTCAGATTTTTGCTGTTAGTACTTTAACCTTCAGTACACTTTTAACCTTCGACAGCTCAAATGTGGGACATGATACAGAGCCAAAACCCCAAATGAAAGATACAAAAATAAAAGAAGGCCAAAAGTGATTCAAGATAAGTTTCTTTAGCATAACTTGAAGCCTCTTCTGACTCTTAACAACTACAGTTTGCTTAACAGAACACAAGTCTACACATTAATGTAAGTATAACCTAAATGCTGTTGCAAAAATAGTTAATAATAAAATTGTAATTTATTCTTATTTAGATTATTACAAACTTGCCTTCATCTTTATTCTTTTAGGAGATACCTACAATTACTTTCATATACATTATCTTCTTTATCATGATAGTGTATAAGGACCAACCAAGAATGGGGCCCTACAGTCCAAACACGGTCGTAGGCAATCCCTTCTCTGAAGATATTACAACCTCAATACAATGATGTTTGGAGAAACCAGTGATGTTTGGAGAATCAGATAAGTAACCAAAACTGTAATTTTCCGAGTTATCTCATTAAATGAAATGTTCAAGCTAAGGAAACTCCTAGGAGATCTCTGCTTTCTGTCAAACAGGGACAGACTAGTGTCAAGGAAGATACCACCTCCTGAGTCATAGAAGTCCACAAGTGTTTACACAGGCTCTGAAATACAGCTTTATAACTTCTATTTTGCTGTAACATTCTATGCTATTCTCTTTTATGCTATGTTCTGAAAGGTGTATATCACTGTTAGTAATTGTGACTCGTGCTTTGTATAGAGCATTTGCTAGGAATCTAATCATAACTTGTAAATGCTATAAAGAGTGGGTCATAAATCAAGAAACCATTTGGTCTACAGGCAAACAAACCAATGAGATTGTCTTATCAGAAATCAGGCCATTCCCCTTGTACAAGAAGCCTGTTTGGTATAGAGATGATCTTATCTCAAGAAAGCAGCCTTCCTTCTCCCCCCTCCCCCTGCCCCAGACATAAATATCTTACAGAATCCTGACTTTAAAAGAATGTTAAGGCTATTCTCTATTGAAGAGGAGTAACAATCAGGATGTGTTCTCAGAGAAATAAAACAAGTCATCAAAATGGGCCTTCCTCTCCCTTAATAGAGAAAAATCTTAGTTTAAACCCCCAAAAATTTAGGAATATTCTTATTGGAACTGTTTCTTTCATAAACACTCTGAAGTCAATATTCTTAAAATATTAAGGAGAACACTTAAGGTAGGAAAACGTTTTAAAGACGATCTTTGTTACCTCTAATTCATGTTTCCTTTTAAAGGTGAAAACCTTGCTGTCCCTCAAATGCTTAAGATGGTATGAGATTCTTTTGAGATGTTTATCAGATACCATTGTTAAGTGAATAGTGAAAAGCTTTACGTACAAATACAATAAGATCATTTGATGCTATAACTGGTTACTAATGTAAGAAGCCATTTGAGTATAGAGATATTCATATTAATTGGGGAATTAGTTATCTTGCGGCGCTTAACCAACTCCTTACTAAACTCAAGATGACAAAAACCACCTCTCCAAGGAGCATTAAGAGGAAAGGAGAATTTTTTTGATGACTAACACGGCAACCACTCTGAAACCATTTAAGCTAAAGATTTCCTTTAAGAATCACTTAAGTCTGAAAAGACTATTTTAAGAGCTGAAGATCTTTATATTGGAAAACACTTGAACTAATTTGAAGAAGAATTTCATGTTCTATTAAATCCTGCGGAAACTAATGAGAGATCAGAAAATGAACTCAGTAAAAGAAAGAGTTAAAACTCTAACTTTAAAGATGTGCTGAGAACTTTCCACCCCAAAAAACAAAAGCTAATTAGAACTCTGATGCATGTGTATTAGCAGACTGCATATTCATGAGCTGAAGATCTTGCCAAGACAACCACAAGGGTGTTGAGCCAATGACCTGAAGAAGAGCTCTCTGTAAGCTTGTCTCTCTCACCAACAGAAGCTGATCCAATAAAAGATATTACCTCACCCACTTTGTCTGTCTAAAATAGTGGAAGTCACACCACTGAATTGGCATTAAGAGAGACAATTAAGTCTTAGCCTATCATTTCTTGTTTCTTTAAACTACCAGTTTTTAGTAATTTTGAAAAAAATACTTGATGCTCAACCACTTAAAAAAACCACATCCTTTACCCCATACTAACCTTTTCCATTTGGTCAAATCACCATTATGGTTGGGAAGTTACTCCCACTACAAAGTCCACATTTTCAGATACTTACAGCTTTTCAAGAAAGTTATCCTTTGAATTGAAATTTCTCATGTTTCTTTCTGAACTCAAAAGTGAGTTTTTCTTATAAAGTTGGGCAAAATTCTATTTGCCATGCTTTAAATAGTCAAGCATGAAAAGACTTTAACCAAGTTATTTTTAATTCCTTTTATTGTGCTCAGATAACTTTATACTTATATAACTTTAAACTTGCCCTGGACTTCTTAGCATTACACAACAATTTAAGGACAAAGTGAAGAAGAATAATTTATCCACTCTAAGCAATAGAAAAGTTAGACACAGAGCTGATAGTTACCCACATTGGAATCTGGGAGGATGTGAGGACAGATATCTGTACTCTTGCAGAATGCCATCTTTAATGGCCGCTTACTGTCAGGACCTCACTTTAACATATTGGAAAGACAGTACTGTCAGCACCATTGTGCTGTGCTATAGTGCACACTAATACCAAGCCAGGGATTGGTACAATTTTGACTGAGGGAAGGCAGTTCCCTATTGGAATCACCAACACTTCCTCTTGGAGGTATGCTATGAAAGTACTGATCTCGTCCAACCATATTTACCTTATTTGATCTAACACAATTGTAGCCTAAAGTGGCGTGGCTGCAAGTGTTCTCCCAAAGCTTACATATATATATTATTTGGCAGTCTAAAACATCTAAATAGAGTAGTGAAATCAGATGGATTCTGGCCCTTATAAATCAGATGCCCAATAAGATTAGGATGCCTGTTTACCTTTTCCTCCAGTTCCTGTTTCACAAGCTCATATTTCCGTCTAAGTTTTGTGTTTTCCTGTTCACTCTGGGTTAACTCTTCTGTCATCTTATCACATTCAGTTTTCATCTTCTCCACCTGTCGACGCTGAGCTTTTACTACATTTTTCTCATCTACAAGTTCTGTCTGATGGTAGTGGGAAAACAGAGGACACGGTCAGTATAAAAGTTCTTTATGAACATTTCCAGATTGCATAGCCCCAAATCCATGCAAAAAGATTAGGGGAAGATACCAATATTTAATCAGTAAGACTTTGCTACAATTTAATTGTGATTACATTTCTAAAAATAAGCATCAGCACTGTACATATATAAATATATAAGATAGAAACTGGACCACTAAGCAATGCTTCTCTACTCATAATGATATGATTTCATCATTGGCAATATAACAGTTAAAATATAAAGAAGGTTTTTTCTATTACAAAGTGGATTTGTCATGCAGATTATCCAAGACACAAAAGTAACAGCAAAATCAGTTCAATCAGCTAAAGAAAAAGTGCTGATGCCTGCAGTGTACTTCGTGGGATTCGGTAAGATCTTGCAAGATCCTGTATAATTTTGAGACTGCTAAATGGAGGACTTGTGTATTCTGTAGTGCAACTCTGCCACACTCATCAACTTGATAGCTCTGTATGAAAAGCTAAATGTTTAAACAAATTAACATTCCATTACTGAAATTCATTGGAAGCCTAAAACACTAAAAATGTATTATTTTCATTATCAGGATCAGTGACACAGATTACTCCTATGCTTAAAGGGAAATGAACTAGATGATTTAATGGACTTTTTCACCTAGAATTTCTAGAATTCTGTGATTTGAAAGCTATTAGTAGAGACACTTGTACAAAGAGAGACATAACTTTAGCTCCTTTAATGCTTTGAGGTAAATAGATTTTTTATGGTGGGGCAGATTGAATAAAATGGGTTAACCTTTAGTGTAAAAATATTGAGACTTCTCCTTCCTGAAATAAGTGGAGTTGATGTATGCAATAAAGATAATAGCAACTTGACTGGCACAGAGGGGTTTGAGAAATTCTGCAGAGAAAATTTACATTACAAAAAAAAAATGCACAGAGCTAACAAGGAAACCACACTTGTTCCATATTGCCACTCTACTTCGGAAAGAGAGTTATATTTTCAAGGAGCCTAGGATTCAGACACACAAAAAACAAACTTGAAAAGTAAATTATCCCATCAGAGAAAGCAAGAATCCAATTCCATTTTAAGTGCAAGCACAACATGGTGTCAACCTCTCATGTTCCCTACATGGCAATTGTATTAAAGATTTATACAGCTGGAGACAATCAAGGAGACAATCCCTTGCCAACATCAACTTGGTTTTCTGCATTCTACTAAATGTGACAGTATCAGAGAAAAAGGAGACACAGACTCTAGAGAAGAAAAAAAATCAACATTTTCAGTCATTTCTGAGACTGAAAAAGCAGGTATGATGTCAATTTATCAGACCTGAGATGACCCCATAACAGTAAGTGGAGGAGGGGGAAAAAAGCCAAAAGCCATATCTGCATGGTGTGTATGTAAATTACACTGTGTATATTCTTTAAGTAGTTATCACTGAGAATGTCATGTATGCAAGCTGCATGTTATTATTCTAAAAGTACAATAATTATTTTAAAAGCAGAAGGGGGACGGGAGGGGTAAAAACTGAGGACAGAGTCAAGACTTTGCAGTTCTATTTCTAATGTGTAATTGACTCACCAAGGGACTTTTGAGCAAGCCACTTAAATCCCTGTGCCTCGGCTTACTTGTGTTTAGAATGGAGACACTAGTAGTGACTACATAAATAAGGTAGCATTGCAATTTCTATTTAAAATAGAACTAAAAGCCTACTACTTCTGCAACACGGGAGCCCTTCAAGAACTGATGCCTCAGTGCAGAGACAGTGGGCTCCTCCCAACCACAAGTCTCTCCCTCTCACACACACTCTGGCCTGCCCCATGCCAGGTTCCCTCATATATACACACACAACATTCCCCATGCACCACTGCCTCTCCTGCTACACACACACACTACTACTCACTACTTCTGCTACTCACTCCCCATTTATCTAACACACCATACAGCAGCTCCATGGAACCAAAAGGGGATGGAGGAGGGGGAAAGGAGGAAGAGGTCAGTGGTTAAGTAGGGGGAACATGGGAGGGAACAGCAAGAATGTGAAGGGTGCTGGTAAAACTGGATTCTGCAGAGGCACCATGAAAAAATTAAGTTTCTGTTCTATTCAGGTTCTTAAACCAAACCTCTTACTACAATATCTGCACTGTGGGTTTAAGCTGCCTGGATTGAGGAATACAGTCATCAGAAGCTCCGTTCTGAGGAATTTACCACCTAGAACACTCACACACCTCTTCCCTCTGCTCCCTCCATTAACAGTCATCTACCTATTTTAAGGTTTTATACTGCTATCTATCACTATATCTGAATACCTTCCATATCAACCAACACTTAAGCATAACTTTCAAAATTTGGCACAGCAAGCGTTAACCATATACCTCAACGTACCACCAATTCAAATTTCTAAAGAAAGGGAAAAAAACATCCATTTCCAACTACTCCACATGGCTAAAGTTAGAAGTTGCACATCGTGTATAAAGAAAGAAGGAACCATGTCTGTTACAGGAGGTTGATGAGGGTAAGGTTACTTGGAGTAGGCAAAATCAGGGTTGTAGATTGCAAAAGATTGCTGAAGATTTAACTAGGAATGTCCTGGATTTTTTATGGTTGCATTGATAGAATATTCATTTAAGAGGCCTGTTTTTGTTTTTTAACAAAAAAATGTTCAGTTTCGGAAAAGTCGGTTACTCACCTTTGTAACTGTTGTTCTTCAAGATGTGTTGCTCATATCCATTCCAATTAGGTGTGCACGCGCCACGTGCACGATCGTCGGAGAAATTTTTCTACCCTAGCAACACCCAGTGGGTCGGCTGTTGAGCCCCCTGGAGTGGCGCCTTCATGGCGCTGGATATATACCGCAGCCGACCCAGCATCCCCTCAGTTCCTTCTTGCCGGCTACTCCAACAGTGGGGAAGGGGGGTGGGTTTGGAATGGATATGAGCAACACATCTCGAAGAACAACAGTTACAAAGGTGAGTAACCGTCTTTTCTTCTTCGAGTTCTTGCTCATATCGATTCCAATTAGGTGACTACCAAGCCTTACCTAGGCGGTGGGGTCGGAGTGAGACATTGCCGTGTGCAAAACCGCTGATCCGAATGCAGCATCGTCTCTGGATTGCTGTACAAGTGCGTAGTGAGCGGCGAAGGTGTGGACTGACGACCAAACTGCAACTCTACAAATGTCCAGGATCGGAACTTGAGCCAGGAAGGCAGTCGAGGAGGCCTGGGCCCTCGTGGAGTGAGCGGTGAGGCGCGGAGTCGGGACACCGGCCAGGTCGTAGCAAGCACAAATGCAGGACGTGATCCAAGAGGAGAGACGTTGGGAGGAGACCGGTAGGCCCTTCATCCGATCGGCTACTTCAACGAAAAGTTGTGTCGGCTTTCGAAATGGATACGTACGTTCAGTATAGAAAGCAAGGGCCCTGCGCACGTCCAAGGAGTGCATACGCTGATCTTGACGCGTGGCGTGCGGCTTAGGATGGAAGACCGGGAGAAATATATCCTGGTTCACATGAAAAGCCGATACCACCTTGGGAAGAAAGGCAGGGTGGGGGCGAAGCTGCACCTTGTCTTTATGGAAGATTATATACGGAGGCTCAGACGTGAGCGCCCTGAGTTCCGAAACACGCCTTGCTGAAGTGATGGCTATGAGGAAGACTGTCTTCCAAGATAAGTAAAGGAGTGAGCAGGTAGCCAATGGCTCAAACGGGGGTCCTGTGAGCTTGGAGAGGACCAGATTAACATCCCATGCCGGAACAGGTTGGCGTTGCTGCGGGTAAAGGTGGTCTAAGCCCTTGAGGAATCTGACAACCATCGGATTAGAGAAGACCGAGGAAGCGTGTTCTCCTGGGTGGAACGCCGATATAGCGGCCAGGTGAACTCTGACTGAAGATATCGTCAAGCCCTGCTGTCTCAAGGACAGGAGACACTTGAGTATGAGGGGAATAGACGCCTGCAAGGGGGGCGTGGCCCGCTGTTCGCACCAACAGGAGAACCGCTTCCACTTGGCTAAGTAGGTGGCCCGTGTAGAGAGCTTTCTACTTCCCAGCAGAATCTGTTGCACGGGATGTGAGCATTGCAGTTCTGTCCAATTCAGCCATGGAGCATCCACGCTGTCAGGTGGAGCGATTGCAGGTCGGGGTGACACAATTGACCGTGGTCCTGGGAGATCAAGTCTGGACACAAGGGAAGAGTGATCAGAGTTTGAATCGATAGCTCCAGAAGCGTGGTGTACTAGTGCTGTCTTGGCCAAGCTGGAGCGACTAGAATCATACGCGCCTGGTCTCTGCGTAGCAGAGCAGTACCTTGTGGACCAGTGGGAATGGAGGAAAAGCGTAGAACGGCTGGCCCTTCCACGTTAGAAGGAAGGCATCGGACAGGGCCAGAGCCTCCATACCCCCTGAGGGGGGGACGGGAGATGGTGGCCTCAGGAGCCCTGGGCTCAGAGTGAGCCGAGCGAGTGGAGCCCCTTGAGCCTGGTGATATGCCCAAGGGGTCCAGAAAGACCAATGCGTAGGGTCTTGTCGCAGGTTTTCTGCCCCCTCCTGCCAATGACCCAAGTCATCTGCAGCTTGACCCTGAGCAGGGTACGCTGAACGGGGGGCCCCTTCAGATGAGTGAGACGCCGATCTCGAGGGCCAGGGCGGTGCCGAGCGTGGGTGCAGAGAATCGTCCTGATACGGTGCCAAGCGGTGCCGATCCAACGGCGAGCGACCTCTGTGTGGTGCCAGTGAACGGTACCGGGATTGAGAACGGTGCCGATGTCCATGTTGGTACCGGGACCCGGATCTGGATGACGAAGACCGTCTGTAACCTCGGTGCCGAGAGCGGCTTCGCGAATGTGAGCGGCGCTCATACCAGTGCCGGGAGCTGCGCCTTGACTCCGACCGGTACCGATGCTCGGGTCGGTGCCGAGAAGAAGACCGGTGCCGGGAGGTAGATCTGTGCCGCGAGTATGACCAGCGCCGAGATGGAGATCGGTGCCGGGACTGCAAGCGGCGTCGAGACCTGCTCCGAGACCGGGAGCGGTGCCGCGAGTCCACGCCCGGAGACGGCGGGCGTATCAGGGTAGGCTTGCCCCTGGACTGTACAGTACGAAGGGCATGCGGTGCCGCAGGTTGAGAAGGCACCGGCTCCGTGAGGGCGATGAGGTCTCTCGCCGTGGCAAATGTCTCCGGGGTGGAAGGGAGACAGGGCTCCACCACTTGACGAGGCGATGAGCCAGTCCGCGCCGGACTCAACGGCTCCACATCCGGTGCCGGAATCAACGGTGCAGATGATACTTCCACCCTCTGGCGTTCGGAAGCCGGGCGCGGCTCTACCCCCGCGTGGGGAGCCGGTGCCTGTTGAACGGCAGTGTCCTGAGTCTTACGGGGCCTTTTATGTCCCGGAGACAGGGATCGGCGCCGAGGGGCTTGCGGTGGACGCGGTGCCGAGGGAGGACGGTGCTGTGGCGCCTTTCCTGCGTCTGCCCACGGTGCAGTACCGGACGGTGCTGCTGGGGCACTACGCACCAAGGCGCTCGGTGCCGGAACCTGGCGCGCCGAAGGAGGATCCGGGCTAAGTGCCGCCTCCGTGAGGAGCTGCTTAAGCCTGAAGTCTCGCTCCTTTTTCATCCTTGGCCTGAAAGCCTTGCAAATCTTGCACTTGTCCATTTGGTGAGACTCCCCTAAGCACTTCAGACAAGAGTCATGGGGGTCTCCCGCTGGCATAGGCCTAGCACATGTCGTGCATGGCTTAAAGCTGGGAGCCTTGGGCATGAGCCCGGCTGTGCGCCTGGGGGGAAAGGGGGGAATAAGAGCCCCCTTAACCCCCGCTAACTACGAAAACTATTTATAACTATTAACAACTACTAATCTAAAGAACACAATTAACAACTATCTACAAGAAACAACGGGTAAAGTTAGGAGAGTGGAGAACAGCTATGCCGCGCTCCACAGTTCCAACGACTTTCACGGGCGGTAAGAAGGGACTGAGGGGACGCTGGGTCGGCTGCGGTATATAACCAGCGCCATGAAGGCGCCACTCCAGGGGGCTCCACAGCCGACAAACCAGGTGTTGCTCGGGTAGAAAAATTTCTCCGATGATCGTGCATGCGGCGCGTGCACACCTAATTGGAATCGATATGGGCAAGCACTCGAAGAAGAAGAGTATGTTTAGGTTTAATGTACTACATGTTTCAGACATATCCCTTACCCAGAACAGCTTACTGTCCACAAACTATTTTGTAAACCACTGTGTATACTGGTAGCACCACGGAAATGCTTATTAATAAATACAAACTATTATTATCCTACACTAGTTTACACTAATAAAAATGTAACAGATGACTGATCATATAGATGTACAGTCAAATGTTGAAAATTAATAAGGCTGTTTAGAGTATCCATTTCAGTTTAAATACTCTTAGATTTTATTCAGATCAGTCTTGTGAAATATAAAATGCTTTTGTTTTCTTCCTTTTTAATCATATAGCCTGGTGTCAGCAGCAAATGAGTTGCACTAAAAATGTGAACTTGTTTCTAAATAAATTTAACAGTCTGCTTCATAAAATATTTTTACGGTACAATTATTGAGTAGGGTTTTTTTTGTAAATGATATGGAAATTGTACACTCTGGAAACGCTTTAAAATACAAGAAGTCATTAAAACTAACCTTTGCAAATTCAACATGCTACTATGATTCATATTCAGAAACTGTTCCTGGAGTGCCTGTGATGCTATTTCAGCTATTGTGCAATACACACACTTCCAGAAATGCAGCATATCTGGGACATGATATGTCCATAGTATAGCAGGGGTAACAGATAAAAAGACAGTAGTCAGAGAGGTTAATAACAAAGTGTTAGAACTCCAATGCTTTACACGCCCTGTTCTACCCAGTCAACAATCTAATTTACCAAAGTTACTGTTGTACTAATGAGGGCTTTTGTCTTAAAGCTACTATGGACACAATAGGGCTTCACCCATATCTTTCAACCTATATACCTCTGAAACATGTCCTGTTTTAGATTATCATTTATCGTCACATCTATCTTTACTGGAACTCCAGAATTCTTCTTAAAAGGCTTCAGTGATCCTGCAGAAGTGGTCCCTGATTTGCTATAATCCATTTCAAACAGACTAAATATGCATAAACCCCTTTATTGTTAGTTTTATCTTTACTGCAGTGCTCAGAAATACATAAAGATCTTTAAAAGTTCATGCTTTGTTAACTTCATCGCCTAATAGAAAAAAAAAAATCAACAGCAGAATTATTCAGCAAAGTTACCTTCAGCCTCCTAATGTGGTTCTCTGTCTCATCCTTTTCTTGCCTAAAGAGCTTCATCAGCTCTTGAACATTTCTCTCATGCTTTGTTTTCACATTCTTCAACTCTGATCTAAGATCTGCCAGCTGCTGCTGGTGAACATCTCTCTCCATCTTCAGCTGCCAGCTAGCTGTAGTCATCTCTTCTTGCTTAGACGCCTGATGTTTTTGAAGGTCTGAAAAGTTCTTGAGAATCTCTTTCTTGACTTTTTCTTCCTCTGCTATTCTGTTTGTCAGCTCTGCCCGAATAGCACTTAAGTTTTTTATATCTTCTTGCATCTCTAAGAATCTTTCCTGGTCTTTTTCATTGATCATGTTAGCTGTTTCAAGCTCTTCCTCTAAACGTTCTTTTTCATTTCTCATCTGGTTCTGTACCAGGATCTGCTTTTGCAACTCACTCTCCAGTTTATTTGCTTTATCTTGGACTTCCCTGATCTCTTGCTCAAGAACTATCTGTTGAGACTTGGTTTCACTGAGCTTCACCTCCTTACAATGGAGTTCCTCTTCTTGCTGGGCCCTCTTTGTAAGCACATCACTCAGCTCCTTCCGAAGGTTTTCTATCTGATGTATAGCAGAGAGAAGCTGAGCCTTCAGGTCATCCTTCTCTTTAAGGACCTAGGAAATATGGAAAAAAAATCAAAATATTACCTAAAAATTCATTAGATCAAAATTTGGTGAAAACTATGCTGTTTGGAAGCAATAAACAAACTTTATACTGTGAGAAGAGAAAATGTTTACAGATTATGGCCCTTGGGATTCAAAGGTACTTGGGAGTTTAGCTAACTTTAAATGCGCTGAGTCAATGGGACTAATCGAAAGCTTAAGGATAGGCATGTGCTTAAGTAACTCACTGAATAGGGGCCAATTTGAGTCAGTCTTCCATTTTTCCCATCCTCTTTGCAGTCTGAGATATAATGCTTTCTACGGGATAGTACTTGGAAGAAAGAAATAAACAGAAACAAGCAGAGAAACTACCTTACGGGCACCTGAATATTTATCCTTCAGTATTTTGGCTTGCCCGCTGTTTGACCAATAATTTCACACCATCCTGTTTCTTCTTCCAGTATCTGTTTGCATTATAAAGTAATTTTTAAAAATTCCTTTCCCAAAGTATATGGGAACTTACAATACTTTCTGCTAATAATCAGGAGTGTCACTATATTCATGAACCAAGATGAGGCAATGATAAGGGCCTGCATGAGATTTGCCTATATTACATTATATCCACTACTGGATTTTTTAATTCTTAAAAGTAGCGAAGGAGATTTGTTTATATTTGACAGTAAACTACGCTGGCTGTTTCCAAGGAGGCTACCAAATACCAGTACAAGAGTCTACTTATAAATAAAACTTATTTTAAAATATCCCAAGACAAAAAACTATGTTACATTTAAAAGAAATTCAGACATGTTAAGATATTAATATATGGATTTAAAGACAGAGTGTCAGCCATAGCAGTTTTTATCTGGGAGTGCATCAGTGTTTCAGCCTTTCTAAAACTGCATGTTGACTGCAGGACTGTATTCAAGAACAATAATTTGCACTTAACCTAAATTCTTTTCAAGTATTAAAACGGTGATTGCTTGCATTAACTTTAAAAATATGTACATATGTTTGATATGTATCATACACTTTCCCATTGTCGAGACAATATATGAAAGCTAAGAAGAAAAGGAACAACAATTTAAAGATTCTAGAAAATGAAACATCATCATGTGGAAGGCTAACCACATGGCCAAGACGTTAAACTATCCTGATAACTCAGTAGAAAATTACATCTAGGGAAGCCTGCTACAACCAATGTTCAAATGAAGCTTGCAAATATTTGGAAAAACTCAGATAACTGCAAATTATGTTCAGAATTCAAGTTTGATGTTTTTCAATCATCACTTTCAACAAATGAATCAAAAGCAAGGACTTCACGCTGTATTTTTAAAATATCCCAGTTTATCTGAGACACTAGATTATTGTGTCCGTAAATTTTTAAAGACGCCCAAATTATTTTCAGCTAGTTACCTGAAGCTCATGATAAATGCTGTATCTAGGTTTCTAAAACCCTCAGATGCAAAGTGTGTGTGTCACTATTTTAAATATATATATACACAATAAGATATTTGTGTTTTGTCCCCATAATGACATGCAGTTTATTTTATATTATATATCCACTAGTAAGAAGTTGTTTTTCAGATGTCAGACACATCTGTCAAACCTGTTAGCAAGGTGCTGATAACTTCTAATGTGGAAAACAAGATTCAAACAGACTTTTAAATAAGGATAAAAACATACCAGTACCATTTAGCATTTTTATGCATCTTTAATGGGAAAAATTTAAAACTTAAAAGAGAAAAATCCAATTCAGACAACCTTAAATACAATATCGGTAGGAAGATTCAATCTCATTACAGCACTATTTGAGTTGCCATCACAAAGATTGTGCTCATCTATCCTTTTATACCAGGGATCAGCAACCTTTGGCAGGAAGCAGCGGCCAGCACATCCCTCGGCCCACGCCGCTTCCCACAGCCCCCATTGGCCTAGAGCGGCGAACCACGGCCAGTGGGAGTCGCGATCGGCCGAACCTGTGGACGCGGCAGGTAAACAAACCAGCCGGCCCACTAGGGTGCTTACCCTGGCAAGCCGTGTGCCAAAGATTGCCGATCCCTGTTTTATACAAAAACTAGTTTTGTGGGCTTGTAACTGAGCTTCAAAACCGCCTTCCTTCCTTTTTTTCTTTTTTCTTTTTTTTTTTTTTAACACATGTATTCAACTCCCATGCTGTCTGTTCTTCGCCTTTTGCTCTACCTCGGTCTTTATTTTAAAATATCAAAACATACATTATTCACTTTCTATATAACTCATGTTAGCTTTGTTTTAACTGTCATCCCTCCTTTCTCTAATGCTTTCCTTTGTCTAGATTAAGTGTTCTACATTGATTTAATTTACATTTTTAAGCTTCTCAGGGTAGAGGGATTTTTTTTAAATGTGAGTAAAGCACTATCCTATTCTGCTTTATAAATGTGAATAAGAATTGTAATACCTAGTTATTGCTGTTCCTCAACAGATCTCAGTGTTTTACAGAGGAGGCAAATATCATTATCCCCATTTTACAGATGGGAAAACTAAAGCATGCAGGTTAATGACTTGCCCAAGGTCACCCAGCAGATGAGCGGCAGAGCCAGGAATAGAAATCAGGTTTCCTGAGTCCCAATCCATTGATCTATTCTCTATACCACACCGTATAATGCTATTTTGTACAAAGACATGGCATCAGGACTATGGTCTAACGCGGTGATCCCCAACCTTTTTAGTCTGGAGGGAGCGAGACGACGAGCCACGGAGGACCGTGGCAGCGGACGAGCATCTGCGGAAATGCCGCCGACAAGCGGCAACGTCACTAGGCGTTGCTGCCGAAATGCCGCCGAGAAGCAGCAGCATCCAGAGGCGTCGCCACCGAAATGCCACCGATTTCGGCAGCGACACCTCTGGATGACGCTGCTTCTCAGCGGCATTTCGGCAGATGCTCATCTGCCAGCCAGTACGTGGGCGCACTTAGACACCCCAGTGGGCACCATGGCGCCCACGGGCACTGCGTTGGGGACCCCGGTCTAATGGTTACAGTGGGGAACTGGTAGTTTGATTCCCTCATTCTCCAATTGACTTGTGACCCTAAGCAATTCATTTAGCATTTCCAGGTCATAAATTTTCTCCAACTATAAAATTGGGATACTACTTTCCTCACAGAGCTGTTGATTAGCATGTATAAAGCAGCTTTAAACCCTTCACATGAATGTGCTACAAGTATTACAGTACCTGTACAGTATTTTTGATGGAGCACTAGCAACAGCTATAGTCAAGTTTGCCAAAGTGTTTCCAAACATTCATCATTTTCTGAAAGTTTCAGCTTTTGAACAGAAATTTTCTAGGTCTGGTTTCAGCCCAAAAGTGTGTAGGGCTTTTTTGGACCGTTTGGAAAGGCTTAGCTGCTTTTAGTACAAGGAGAGTGAAGTAAGTGAGAGCTGTTGGGTGCTCATCTTTTTGGAAAATCTAGCTATTTATGTAGATACCTACATATGCATTTCAGAGCCTAACTTTAGGTAGTCTGTGTTTTTTTTTTAATTTTGGACAATATGCTGAAATGTTGACAGAAGATACCTCTCTTCAGAGAAGGTTGCCTTATCGTTCTATGGAAACTTGGTTCTATGAAAATTTTTTAAATTTATGCATTCTCAGAACCACTACTTAAAAACAGCCAGGAAATGCCTGTTAAGATTGCATGAAGAATCTTTACTCCATCTATATACATTACATTACTGTCTTTAATGACATATGCACATGCACAAAAGCTCCATCTTATACTATTTCTCAAAACCTCCAAAACAGCTTAAAAGTATTTACAACTTTGTAAGTTTCATCTTGTTTAGTGCACAAGGCTCCTTGTGATTTATACAAGAGACTTCCATAGGTCTTTCTAGCCCACACAATATAATACACATGTAACACTGGTCTACAATTTTCGAGAAGTCGTCTGCTTCAGAGATAAAAGGTGCTATTTATTATGTATTTTGATGTGCTGAATTCAAATATGACAATTAAAACAACTGATTGGCTACTGTTTCTAAGATATTTAAGTTTTTACATTTTATGTCTATGTATATTGTGTAGATAGTAGAGTTTTAATCATAAATTGTAAACCTAGGTCTTTTCATGTGTTTATGGTTGCTTTACATGATAATATTTAACGTGTCCTGTTTATGTAACACTTTAAACATCAGCAAAAGGTTTATATAAAT